TACAAATGTTTTATGAGTAATATATGAATCTAATATTTAATAATTTTATACAACTAACTTACATATGATGAATGACAATATTTGCCAACTTTGTATGAATCTGTCAAGCTGTATTTGAAGTGTTATATCAGCTGTTGCATTAAACTTTACGTATATTTGTGTACTGGTTTGTATGGCTCTGTGGTTATTTATGGTTTGAGACAGGAACAGACGGGGACTGTATACAAGTGTATTTTAGGCAGTGAAACAGCACAGGGAAACAAGGCAGGAGATGACCCCCACTGATACACAACTTGGAACAGTTCATTCACACATCCAGTCGGCTACTCACCCTGCTGGCAGGCACACTGTGTTAATATGGCTGTGGTACGACCGCGTGTATGTGTCCATTTTCTGTGTCTAACCACATTTATGTCCACCACACATCCCTCTTAACCAGTCATATGCGTGTCTGTGAGTGTTAATCATTAAAAACACTTTTCCTGGGAAGCATGGGGAGTTTGAAATGATGTAATTTGTCCCCTGTGTGATGATGGGTGTGTGCATCTGAGCAGCTTGTGTATGACGTGTATGTCTGTCTTGAAGTGTCATGCACAGGGTGGGTCGCACATTTTCTAGATGATCAGAGGAAGAGTAATCAAGGTGCAGAGAGGAGCCAGCCTCAAGGAAGAGCTCAGGACAGACAGAGAAAGATGACGGCAAGGATATAGAGACGGAGAATAGACACAGTGGTGCATCCCTAAACAATGAACACTGTGGAAAGATACTGTAGTTCACAATAAGAAAAATGGTTAATGTCTAAATAATGAGGCTACATTCTTTTGATTAACGAGATGTCTGTTATTCAGAAAGATACCGTAGATATAGATACAGAATGCTTTTTCATCTCCTCTAATGCACAGTTCTTCTCTGCTATTAAAGTGATCACCATAAAGCAGCGTCCAAAAGCTCCAGTAGTGTATAATCTACTGATTTTAACACTGAGACGTACACAAACTGTAGTCCTGTAAATGTGGAAATGTAGAATGATTTGTTAAGAATGGAAGGAAGCTGATCCACAGGATGACAATACAATTTCTGCATCCTCCATAGAAGAACAATCCAACATTACATATAATCTACACAGTTGTCTGCAGGACATGGAAAGAGGATGTGATGCTGTTGATAAAAATGGTTTGGTGATGATGATATGAAGATAACATCAAGGAATGATGACCAAGGCAAGTTTCTCTGGCGTTCTGGTCTTCCTCATGCAGAGCACAGCTGAGAAAAACACACCCACACACCTGGAAACTGTAAAATGACTTGTGTCAACACAGCTGAGTCCCTGTCCTTCTCATCCTCCTCCTTCAAGGTGTGTGTGTTCGTCATCCTCCTCGCTATGGAGCCTTGTGACAGAAAGACTCCCCGCCACGTCCACACACAACCACATCCTGAGTGTTACTCACAGACAGGAAGTGCTTCAGGGGACAAAAAAGGTAGGTGACACAATGAAAGACACGCTATGACTGACAGAGGAACTATAATTGGTCAGTAACAGATTCTTCCTCCTGTGGATAAACTCAGAAGTACAATAACTGCAGGTTGTCCTAGAAACAGATTTTAATTGCAATTATTAGCAGATTAAAGAAACTTTCACAAAACCCACAGTCTGACTAGAAGCTGGGTTATACTTTAAAGGTCTCAACAGTGTCATTTGCTAAAGAGTAATAGAAAATACAATGGTTTCATCTGAAGAATCATCTCACTCTCCCACATGTGCACTCACAAGTGCATGTCTGTGTTAATGTTATCAACAGCTTGTATGTTGAGCTGCCCACTGGGTTGGAAGTGGGCAGGAGGTTTGGGTCAGAGACCCTTATTGTCTGCTCAGGTGGATAAAGGAAAATATTATTCCTGCCATCGGTGGCAGAGGTAACGAGCCCGAATGTGTGAACATACACGTGCTCAGTGTTGGTTTGTTCATGCGGATGTTTGTGGTTTCTATAGACTGTGGGCATCCTGACTGTGGCAGAGGCCTTTGTGTCTGGAGTGTACCGCTGCATTGCCTCCAACTCTGTAGGCACGGACCAGCTAGACGTCCACTTCTACATCACAGGTGATCCCAGAGAAGATGAATCATCTTTGCAGAACTGATGGGTTTTTTTTTTATTCTTGCCCACATCTGGGAGTTTTTTTTCTAAATTTAAGTAACAAATTACAGGAAGGTCCCTTGACACACACACCCACACACAACCCATCATCCACTTGCATTTCTCATTTTATGCCCCCTACTAAATATGAAACTATATCAGCTGATCCACATGATGCTTTGTCATGTTTATTCAGAATAGTGAATGAATAATGAAATCATCACAATTTTATTTGGTCAGGATTACTCATTATGCATTTAAGTGTTTTTTCAACCTGAAACTCAGTGAGGGGTGTTTTCTGTTAAAAACTAACAAAACAAAACAAAAAAACATACGGTAAGAACAGAGTTTTCCTCAAACACATAAGCTAGACTTGCCCTAAATATATTTAAATCCATTTTGTGACTTGTATTTAATCCCATGAATACAAAGTGACATACACACACTCATACACACACTCATGCGAAAAATCAACTGTTACATGACACATCAGAAAAACAGCAAATGTCTCCTGATGCAAGTTGAATCTGAGGGAGAGACACACATTAATAGTGGTTGAAATACCTGGTGGAACCAAGCAGTGTATGTGCACTAGATCTTGCAGTTGTGTGAGCGTGCGAAGTGGGGTTAGATGTGTTACTAAGTATGCAGGTTAAGGTTTTCTGTGTTTATTTGTTGCTAAATGTGCGCATAAGTGTGCACACAAGTCTATGCAATGCTGCTGAGCAAGAGAGAAACAGGAACCTATGGCTCTTATCGTTCCACTTCCCTATGTACTTCCTTGGACTGACAGGTCCGCTTTATTTCAGGAGGCCTTGGGGTGTTCAGGAAAGATAAACACTATCTGCCACCAGGAAACTCTCAAGCCATTTCCACAGGAAGTTTCAAATGGCTAAAGTAAATAAAAAGCCTTTTCACTATATCCCACTAGCTGCTTTTACCCACAATAACCATTCAACATTATCATTAAAGGCTACAAAAATGGGAGTTTGGTGGAATCAGGTGTTAGAGTGTATACATCAGACCCTAGGCAGGTTTGTGGAGAAGCTGAGAGGGCTTATTCATCAAACAGGAGATCGGTGATGGATTATATTCTGTTTATGTCCCTGCTTCGTAACTCTCCTTTCCTGTCAATCCATCTCTTCTGTTTCCCTCAGATGTCCCAGGAGGCTTCAGTATAAAACAACAGAAGGAGCCTAGAGAGGGTGGGGACCTCCAGCTCACCTGTGTAGCCAATAAGTACTTGTACACAGAGTTGTTGTGGCAACAAGTGACTGACACAGAGGACGCTCAGACCCGGCGTCTGAGTGATCAGCAGCTCACACCAGGGGAGTTCTCCAACTCTCTGGTCCTGCTGCTAAGTAACCTGACAGCCAGAGACGCCGGAGTCTACCGATGCTCCGGGCGCCACCTTGTCACCAGACAAGAAACGCACTTGGACACACAGGTGGTGGTCAAAAGTGAGTAGTCGCAAACATCTCCTCTTAATCTTCATGCTCAACATCTTATAATTGAAGTTACTGAGTGACTTTAAGATGTATTATTTTACTTTCTCAAGAGACTTTTGTAACCCATGATAGATCAAGTAATCATGGCCTGTTTCTACAAAATATATGCTTTTTTTCTGGTCATTTTTAAAGATTATGCTAAAACAATGTATTATCTAAAAAATTATATTGAACGTTCAAAACACAAGTTATAAAGCACTTCACAATAAAAGCATTTAGCATGAAATATTAACAGACAAGACTGTAAAACACAGGAGCAGCAACAAAGGAAAATACCCCAACAAATAACAATGAAGCAATAAATTAAAAGAACAAACAATGGAAGCAAAGAAGAACCACAATCATCTGACTTCAACTACTTGTGATGATATAAATTCAGTACTATTTAAATTTCAACTTCAAGTGTTAAATTTGACATTTAGGTATTCACTTGTTCATAACCTTCACATTTTTGGCCTTTCTTTGCGTCCGTACAATGCTGGGTGTGCGAGAAGTAAAAGAGTTTTCAGGAAGTGAATGATTCAGGGGACCCAGCGCTGAACAGGGCCCCCAAATGATTTATTGTTGGAGGCCGTGAATGTGTAGCTGTGCATACACACACTGCTATGCTCACAGTTTATTTCAACCTGTTTTCTATATTCTAATAATAATTGTTAATAACTGCATACATTTTTGCAAAAGCAAAACAAAAAACTTACTATATTCTCTGTGTAAACTCATGATGTCCTTGTGTTTTCTGTGCACATAGGTTCCACATACGTATCTATAAAAACACAAACACACACTCTCTAGCTGCTTGTGAATCGGGTCCCCTCAGCTTCCTGGGGCCCCACCCCACACTCCAGCTCAGCACCTCTTTCACGTGGGAAGAACACACAATGGCATTTCCCACAATGCCACATTTACAGGCCCCTACACAGGGCCAGAGGAACAATCAGCCAATCAGACATTGTCAGGCTGTAGCCCCCGCAGACAATCATCAATTGTTATTGAGAAGGAAGATAGGGGAAACAACAATCAGTCGCCTTGGTTAAGTGACATTTCTTCATGTCTTTTACTGTTGTTCTCTATATAATCAGGGCTCAATGTGTCAACTTCCTCCCCTGGGACCCCCACAACAGAATTTCTAGAGAGACAGGGTGACCAGAGAGAGACAAGTGGGAGAGCTAAAAACAGAGAAAAAATTAAAACACAGTATTTGAGAGATTCGGGGTACAAGAAGTCATCTCATCTAATTAAAGCATATAAAACTTGTGGTGTAATTATAGTGCACAAGAAGGAAACAAAAAAAAAAACACCTAGAACTCATTGTGTGTACTCAGTAATTGTCTGTATGATGAAATACTACATTGTTGCTGTTTGGAAATGGGTTTGTATTGTGGAGTTTGTCAGGGTGCCTATGTGGCCCAAGGGAGTCTAATCATCATCAGCTGACTCACAGGTTGAAGCCAAGGCCACTTTTCTACCAGCACACAATTATTGTCCAAAAGTGGCACTGGTCCAGCAAATTGTGGGAAAAAAATAGCATTGGCTTCACTTCACCCAAAATCTGCTTTAGTCTATAAATACCTCTGCTGACACAAATGTGATCATTCATTTTTTCTTTGGGTAATTTCCAGTAATGAAAGAATTATTCAGCTCTTAAGCTTTGTATTGTGAAATGGGCCACTCATGGTGCGGGAACAGTTACTGTAGTTACTGTATACAGTGGTTTTTGTCATTGCTTTGGATTTCCGGTGAACACATTTGCTGCTTTGGTTTATTCTTACTGCAGGTTTTCAGTGCATAAGACCCACTGTGTGCTACCTGCCCAACACCAAATGTCAGACAAAGTTACTGTAGCTGCAGTACAAGCTGGTGAACATAGTGGAAACATATAGCAACTAAAGGAGATACTGTACTTAGTTACATTAAAGCAATGGTAATTTGCCCAAAAATTGCACAAATGCATATTAGCCCTTCAGCATTCCTACTCATAGTGTGTTTGTGTGTCTCCCTTTCAGTTCTCGAACCTCCTGTGCTGCTTCATAATTTGACAGATTGCACTGTCAATGTTAGCAGCTCAGTGGCCCTCAGCTGTCCCTCTGAAGGTGTCCCACCGCCAACCATCACGTGGTACAAAGATGAACATCCTCTGTCACAGGGATCAGGTAAAGAGAAAAATAAACACATTAACATGTAAATTGTAGCCATAATTTGGTGTCTAAATGTTTTTGCCACCATCTACAGGTATTGTCATATCACCAGAAGGCGCGACCCTCCAAATTGAGCGAATCACAGTGGAGGACCAGGGTCTGTATACGTGTCAGGCCACCAATGAGAGGGGATCTGCAGAGAGTTCTGGCCATATATGGGTCAACAGTAAGTATCCGTATCCAGCTGTGTTTCTCAGACGCCGTGGCTGTTGATTGGCTGTGTTTACCTCTGACTTGAGAATGGGGCACCTCCAAATATGGGTCTGTCTGAATGTGGATTGTTCTCTGTTTTGCAAATAGACATATAGTCAGGATGTACAGTTATATAGTATTCAGCATGTTTTTATGGATGTAGCATTGATACACTGAATTAATGTTTGTTTATTAGTTTCGATCAAACATTGATCAAAGTATATTTTAACCTAATCCCAATGTGAGACCCACTCAGCCTTTTGTTCATGTTTTCCTTGTTCACACACCCACACACACACATAAATCTTCTGGCAACAGGGAACCCATATGATTCTACTGTCCCCCAGTTGCAGCAGTAGCGGTGGATGCACTTCTCGCGGTGGTGTGTGTGCTGCTGTGTTCTGATCAGTCAGGAAGGAAACTGTCTCCTGTTTTTATTTCCTCCGGAAGGGCCCCGCCAGCATCTCAGGGAGTCCCTGCGCTGCTGAGAGCTGGACATTTCTACACCTTTCATTAAAAAAAGAAAAATAAATAAACGTGGGTTTTAATGAGGGGCATGGATGGTAGTGTTTAGGGATCACGGTGTTGCAGTGAAAACAGAGTACCCCCCCCCCCCCCCCGGGCTCAACTGGATTCATCAACAATCAAAACCAAGTAAATAAATCAATATAAAAACAAGAAAATAAATGTAACCAATCCTTAAATCTATTCAAACAACTATGTTCCTGCACATTTACTAAAAGAAAGCAACAAAATTCAAAGTCCTATGCAGCTTATTACAGGACAGTTTGTGTGCAATAACTAGAAGACACCTAACGAAATAAAATGAAACCGATTATGCTTTAATTTGAGGGGTTCTTGTTTGTGTATCATTGTATGTGTGTGTTTTTGGAGCAGGTGCCTCAGAAGCTTCATTTCTGGAAGCTCCCGCTCTCGCCTGCACCTGTGTGGTGTCCACGCTCTTCTGGCTTTTGCTCACACTCCTCATAAGGAAACTGAGACAGGTGAGGGGAAACAAGAAAAAGTTGTTTTCTGGTATGATGAAACAAATATATGGTACATACTGAAGGCTTTCTTAGAAAGTTGTAAATATTCTCATCTTTCAAATGTTTAAATTTCCAACAAAAGCACCTGAATGCACCAACACCAACTGTCCTTGCTCACAACTTACCAGTAATAAATCTGTCTTTTGTATTTGCTTGTACAGTATTGGCTTATAAATTTGATTACTTTGTGTGTGAACGTTCCAGAACAATCTCCAGTGTTAATCAACAGCACTGTTACACATTACCTGTCATACAATGTTTTAATACTTCCTAATTTTGCTTATCTATTTATTTATTCTATAAAATACCTTCTTCCTTCTCTGAAGCCCAACACCTCAAACACCAAGCCCGAGTACCTATCAATCATTGTAGACACGGGAGATGGGCCGATAGAAGAGCAGTGTGAGAGACTGCAGTATGACGCCAATGAGTGGGAGTTCCCTCGGGAGCGGCTCAAATTAGGTACATTTATTTTCTTTATAAATAAAATCCAGAAATGTATGTGATTAGCACAGATTGGTTTTGGAAACATAAGGCTAACTATGGGAGCGAGGTGAGGTCTTTAAGATCACATAACAGATACAAGGACTTTCTCATATGTCTTATCAGATTATAATTGGGAGTCACTCTCATGCCATTAATCAGACGTTGTGTCTGTGTTGTCTGTGGTGAGCTAATCATCTGCAGGAGGGAGTGTGTAAACAGTGTTTACTAGAAGTAATCAGCTTTCACTATCATCAGGGTGGGATTCTGTTAGCTAGACTGTTGAGGGGGTCTTCTATAATCTTACATCTGGGATGGATGATTGTAGCGATTAATAATGTTGCTCAATTACTCAGTTTGTCTCAAAAACATATTTTCCTTACTGATCTCCCTGCGTGTCTTTCTCACAGGGAAACCTTTGGGCCGCGGAGCCTTTGGTAAAGTGATGCAGGCATGTGCGTTTGGTATAGACAACGCCACCGGCTGCAGGACTGTGGCTGTTAAAATGCTCAAAGGTGAAAGATCAGATCCTTGGTGTTCTGCTTTAAAGAACATGATTGTGAAAGAACATCTTGCCAGTTATTTTTCTTTCCTGCCTGTTGCCCACCAGAGGGAGCTACAGCCAGTGAACACAAAGCCCTGATGACTGAGCTGAAGATCCTCAACCACATTGGACACCACCTGAATGTGGTCAACCTCCTGGGAGCCTGCACCAAACCTGGAGGTGTGTGCACTTTCTCTGCTTAATATATGCACAAGATCATTTATATGCATATATTAGTGTTTGCATGTTAGTGTTTGTGTATATGTTGATGCTCATGTCATATTTCTAAAATGTGTGTGTGTTTTTTTCTGTGTGTGCAGGACCACTGATGGTTATTGTTGAGTACTGTTGCTATGGGAATCTCTCGACCTTCCTAAAGAGCAAGAGGGATGTGTTTGAACACAACCAGGTGAGCGCAGCAGCTTCAACTGTTGTCTGCAAAGCAATTAAAGATGGTATCATGACATTTCAAGCAAAACAAGATGATGTGCAGACATAGTCCAGACATGACTGTGTGCTTACACTTCAGCTTCTGCTTGCACAAGTGACAAAAATACGATGGCTCTCTGTGCTACACGCAGTTACAAAACTATTCATATACCCTACACTTCTGCTCTCTGAGGTTCAAAGATGCTATCAGTTCTCAAGCAGGACATTTACTTCCTCATTTCCTTCACAGATCTAGACAAAACTGTAACAGTAGCCTCAAAGGTCACAGAGTAAATCATCTTTATGAATTTCTCTTATACCATTCAACAAATTGACTAAAACTGCCACTTAACACAATCTCAGATGACACATTAGCCTGTTCTCAAACAGTATAAAACCCTTAACTGTCTTCACTGTCTTTCTTATACAATATGATAATGAATGGACGTATTGCCTTCTCAGTCAGCTAAAGGAAATGATGGAGGGCCAAGGTGGGGCAGTAGCATGTCTGACAGCCAGAGCAACATTAGAACAGATCAAGGAGAGAAGAAAGACAGTGGCAACGGTAAGACAGGACCTTAGTGAGTATTTTCCCATGTTCATGTAAATCCAAACTGGGGTTTGTTGTTTTTTTTTTTTACATCCCTGTGTCCTCTCTTTCCTCCTCTAGTTCCCAACTCTGCTTCCAATACTCCTTTATTTCTGGAGGATCTCATCTCTTTTAGCTTCCAGGTGGCTCGAGGAATGGAGTTTCTGGCATCACGCAAGGTCTGATACATCTCTGTGGGGAGGGAGAGAGAGAGAGAGTGTGGTGGACATGTGCATGTTTCATATATATATATATTTTAATGGCGTTCTCTCTGTGCTTCCATCAGTGTATTCACAGAGACCTGGCAGCCAGGAACATTCTGCTCTCTGACAATAAAGTGGTGAAGATCTGTGACTTTGGCCTGGCCAGAGACATATACAAAGACCCCGACTACGTCCGCAAGGGAGATGTGTGTACATGTGAAAACGTAGTTCAGTATTATACTTGCTTGAAACAAAATGACATTGAGCTTAATACAGCTTATGACAGTGACATTTTAATGATGGGACTATAATGAAAAATGTCATTTTTGACTTAATACTGTGTGTCAATTTTGACATAGTCTTGTGTTTCCTTCTGGTGAACTATAATTGATATTAGTCAAATTGGTTTTATTTTATATCATGTACACACCATGATATTTTCATTAATTTCTCCAGTTGTGTTGTGGAGTACGTAGCATGATTTGCCACTGTGTGTTGCATTTTATGGTTTATTATTTCATACAACTAGGGGTTTAATTTACTTTTACATATATTTCAAATAAGCCACAAGTCTACATGCTTTAGGTGGCGATATAGCGCCAGGACACTTACTGTAGCTCTTATCAAGTGAAGGAGTGAGGTCAAGGTGTCAGGTAGAAAAAGTTGGAGCCCTGTGGACTGTTTCGAATTTAATTGCAAAATCAGTACAAGCAAATGCACGGTAGTTTCAGGTAACGGTACCTGTGGTGTAGAAGTCAAAGGGAAAAACATATCTTATATTTCATTGAGAGAAAAAGATGCAGCGAGAAAGAGCAACAACAAGGATAATGTCAGCAAAACGTCCAGAAAGCAGGAGAGGATGACCTGCTCTAGTGAATACAAAAAAATATGGAAACGCACTTATCAAAACTGGTATGTCAACCAGATTATGTGACATGCAAGCTTTCATTCACTCATATCTGAGTGTTTCAGTAGGAGTATTGCGTATTTGCAGGCTTTGCCAGTCTGAAACAAACGCATTGCAAATAAATAAAACTGGACCTAAAATTAACTCAAACTAAACAAAAAGGAGTTCATAAAATAAAAGCTAAACTGGATTAAATGGTAGAATGAACTAAAACTAAGATTAAATCCAGAAATTATATCAAAATGAAACTAGTCTGAAAATGGAAAACATTTGCAACTTTCACAGCCACTTTGAAACAGTTTGTCGTTAAATGTTCTTGTGGCTGCAACATGAAAACACCACACTATTTGGGGAACTACTTCTTGTCACTGTGTGGTTTACATTTTGGTAATGAATATGAAATTCACTTCTTTCCTCACAAGGATGGATTAGCAACTTTTCAACCAAACAAATATTTCCTCATATAAATTATGTTTTCTAACAGCGCTCCTCTGCTCTGATTGGCTGACAGGCTCGTCTCCCTCTGAAGTGGATGTCTCCTGAGTCTATCTTCGACAAGGTGTTCACTACCCAGAGTGACGTGTGGTCCTATGGCATCCTGCTGTGGGAGATCTTCTCTCTGGGTAAGAACCGCACATTTGTTCTAAGCATATATGGCCAAAATGATAATTGACCTCATATTATAATGCAGTCCAACAGAAAGCCCCATGAAAATACTCTGTAAAGTGTATTTAATAAGTGTGTGTTTGTCCAACAGGAGCCTCCCCATACCCTGGTCTTCACATAGATGAGGAGTTTTGCCATAGACTGAGGGGGGGAACAAGGATGCGAGCACCGGAGTACAGCACACCTGAGATGTGCGTTGACATATCTTATTAAAACACTGTAAACAGGTGAAATCAGCCAATGACAAGGGGTATTGTGATGAGGGAACCCAGCTGCAGGAGCAGGATCCTATATTTTAAACTTAGTTGGTGATACTGTTAATGTTTTGACTGAAAACAATAAGCCAGTGTGTTTGTGTGTACAGTTACAGCACAATGCTGGCATGCTGGGAGGACCATCCCTCAGACCGACCCACCTTCACCAACCTGGTGGACACACTGGGAGACCTGTTGCAGGCCAGGGGTCAGCAGGTCAGTTATGGATCTTTTTTTTCAGGCTTATTATGAAGGTATTATTTGTTGTACAAAAATATTTTCTCAAGACACAAACGTATCACTAAATAAGGTCTTACAAATCTCTCACTTTGTGGGATGTTGTCAGCAGGATGGGAAAGATTATGTCCCTCTGGGATCTTTCATTACTGGAGACACAAATTGCAGTGAGGCCTTCAAAGAAAATCCCCTGGCAGTCACAAACCTGAGGTAAGAGAACATTTGTGTTGATTTGTTGGTTTATTTTACAGGGACGCATGCAGCTAAATACTGTCACACACAGGCAACTGATGCAATGCGTATGGGTGTTTGACTGCAGTTCCAAAAAAGTTGGGTCACTGTGTAAACAGAAAATAAACACTGAATGAAATGATTTGGAAATCTTTTTAAAACTCATCTTTAATTGAAAACAGTACAAAGACATATCAGATGTTGAAACTGAGAAATGTTATTGTCTTTTGGAAAAATATCTACTCGTTTCAACAAAGTTGGGATAGGAGCATGTTTACCACTGTGCTGCATCACCTCCTCTCTTAAGAACACACTGCAAGGGGGAGGGAGCTGAGGAGACCAAGTGATTTAGTTATGAGAGATGCATGTTTCCCCATTTATGCTTGATATCTGATTTCAGCTGCTCTACAGTTCAGGGCCTCTTTTGTTGTATTTCTCACCCCATAATCCACCAGATGTTTTTGGTGAGTGACAGGCCTGGACTGCAGGAAGGCCAGTTTATCACCTGGACTCCTGTTATGGAGCCATGCTGTTGTAATATATGCAGAATGTGGTTTGGCATCATCTTATTGTAATAAACTAGGCCTTCATTAAAAAAAAACATCATCTTCATGGTGGCAATGTTGCTTCACAATCTGTATATATGGTTCAACATTAATGATGCCTTCACAGATGTGAAAGTTACTCATGCATTGTGCACTAATATACCCCCACACCATCACAGATGCTGGCTTTTGAACTGTGCACTGATGACAAGCTGGATGGTTCCTCTCCTCTTTAGGCTTGAGGAAGTAATGTCCATGATTTCCAAAAAGAATTTTAAATGTTTTCCACTTCATCCCAGTTCATCTAAAAAAGGAGTTCGAGCCCAGAGAAGGTGGTGGTGGTGTGTCCGGTTCTTGTTTCTATATTGTTTTTTCTTTGCATAGTAGAGTTATAACTTTGTGGAGGTTTACCCCTGTCCCAGCTTTTTTGGAACCTGTTGTTGGCATCAAATTGAACCTTAGATAGCTACTGTTACCAAATGAATATGGGATAAAAGGGGTTTTCACAACATTTCATTCGGTTTTTATTTACAATTTGCACAACATCCCAACTGTTTTGGAATTGGGGTTGTGATTTGCAGCCCCCATCCCTGATTAGATTTTTAAGACCGGTTCAAACATCTAAAAATAGATAAAACCTGCTTTAATCAGCAGGAGAATTAATAGTAATAGGTTTGTTTGTGAGGCCTGGCCTCAGAAGATCAGACAGTAGGATGCATGTAAAAAAATCCTAGCATGCCTGTACCTTTGGGCCACTTTAACAAATATGCATGGGCTTATCATATGAAAACAGTTTAAGTTTATCTGAATAGTTTCAGACATTTTCCTAATATGAGCATCAAACCTGGGTCTAGAATCCAAACCACCTAGATGTTTAAATTCACTCACTTCTTCAATTTCCTTTTGGTCAATAATGAAATTAAATGAAATATTATACAATTTAGTAAACAGAATGTAGGACTGAGCCAGCGCACCTTGAGTTAAGATGTTATGGGGGGCGTGAATATGACAGATGCAGATGTGAAAGTGATGGGAGAGATCTGTGCATCGAAACTGAAAATAGACACAGAAATCAGGTTGAGAAAGTAGAGAAATTTCCAACTTTTGTTTTGAATGTGAATCCAACAGCTACATGAGGGGTATGGCTACACTTCAGACTTTTGAGGAACTACCCTGCGAGGAGCCAGAAAACTTTGATGTAAGAAAACATCTTCACTTCTGCTTGCATGCCTACACACACATACAGGGAGTAAGACAAACATTTATCTTCACCTTGTCAGAATTTTCTGACAAAACCCAGTAACTCTGGTATCTGTATCCTCTTCGCTTCAGGACGAGCAGAGTGACAGCGGCATGGTCCTGCCTTCTGAGGAGCTGAAGCACATGACTTGGAATAACAGCACCAGTACCAAGAAACTCAGAAGGTGGTGACCTTTAATGCTTGACCTTTGAACCCTTGACTTGCCTCCTGTCAGCTAAGACTCAGTGGTGGAAAGTAACTAAGTACATTTACTCAAGTGTTGTACTTAGGTACAGTTTTGAGGTATCTGAGTATTTTCATTATCTGCTACTTCATACTTTGACCTCAATACATTTTAGAGGCAAATATTATACGTTTTACTCCAGTACCTGTACTGCCTAACTTTATCAAATTAACTACACAAAATAGAATATAATCATAAGTTAATTGACCTCTAGTGGGAAATTCACAAACTACTCAGCAGTAATTCAAATTATATGTATATAAAGTAGTTTAATTAGCCTTACGTTTACAGCTGCAACATTAAATGTGATGTACACAATGATGCATCAGTAAATACTGTATAATCCAATAATATAATATACATCAATGTTAAATGTGCCATTCTGCATAATGAGTACTTTTACTTTTGGTACTTCAAGACTATAAGAGATTGACTAGGACTAAGATAAAGATAGGCGGCGTGTCTTGCAGAACTTCATTCTGTGTGGTGAAATATCGACCCCCTTTTGTCAGGAAAACGAGTGGATGTTTAAAGTGCATGACAGGGAAATCATTCAAGTCAGTGCATACATGCTCTGTTCCCTTAATGGATAATAAATAAGATAATCATGATTAATCTGTATGTTTTTATGTTCAGGTTTTTCACTTTCAAGTGCCAGGACAACCGGGTGCCTTTCCTGCTAAATGATGACGAGCCATCTATCCTGCCGTGTGACTGGGAGTCTGACGACCGCGGCTACCCTCCTCCGGCCTACAACTCCACCTTTCTCTATCCCTCCCTCTAGCATCTGCTCTTGTCTAATTCTGACAGCTTTACACAGAATAAGCATATTTTCCTGCTCGTCTTTTTTGTCCTTTGCCTTGTTAAACCATCTGTTAGATTTTCTTCAGTTTCAAACGTCACATTGTGTCATACAACAGGGCTTCCTTATAATTATCAACTAACATCTTAATGTAGTTCCCCTTCCAAGAGCAGCTAATTATTACCTGACAGTACTTATCCCATGCAGTTATGCTGAATGTATTCATCAACCTACAACTATTAGGGCGTATTGTATTGGTACCTCATACTCCAAGCTTTGTGAAGAACAACACTGCTGTTCCTCTTACACAGCTACTTACTATATGCTGGAAAGTTATTGCCCTTTGAAATATATTAGAAGGTATCTCTATTTATTTTAATGCTGTAATCATTCAGTGGAAGTCATTTATTAATTAAGTCTGTGCCTTCAATTTTATATCTGTATCTGACCTTCTGTGAATGTAAACTATGCTCAGTTGCCAATTTATTGGGTAGCCCTAGCTAAGTATAATGCAGTCATACACAACAGCCCTGCTATGAAATGATTCCTGTTCAGTTCTATTGAAACTGCTGTAAAAAAATGCTCTGATTTGTCCCCCCCAGTAATGTTGATTGATTGGGGTGGACAAAATGTTATAAATGCCTTTTTAATTGAATATACTCTAATGCAAAGAACAGCCTGCAAAATGAGCATAAGGCTTCCAAAACGTTTTAACAAATTTAAAAAGCTGACCGTAGAGCTGGTGTTTTAGACTGCATTAGCTTTATCTGGAATGACCTAATAAATGAACAGCTGAGTGTATTCAGCCCTGCATTAAGTATTCTTTGTTGTAAAATTAAGTCATATGTCAAGTCACACACATGTATTTTGATTTGCAAAAAACACTAAATGCATGTAAATCAGTTCATTTCAGTGTAGTGTTTTTCCTCCAATCCATCAGAGCATCAGAGGTGACGATTAGCTGATTGACAGAAAGTTAATTGGTGACTGTTTTGATAATCAGTTAAATTAAATTAAATTGCTTATCTACAATACGTGTGATGTGTGATAGGTATCAAACAAACACTACAGTTTTTTACACATACAGTAACATTTCCAAACACTGGTTCCAGCAATTGTAAAGGAGATTAATCTTGATTCAAATCAAATCAAATCAAATTTTATTTGTATAGCGCCAAATCGATCAAGGGTTTGGTATGCTTATTTGTGTTTACCAGCTATTGTTCTTCTTGGAGTGAGGGAGTGTTGAATCTTTGGTCAAGGGTAGAAATGCCAGTAACAGAAATAGCTAAATTGATAGAATTGTGCGCATTTGAATGGGAGCATGCTAAACAAAGAATTCATTAATAACAGTATTATACTAATGGTGGGAGACAGGGACCCTGTACTTATCTATGAAGTGCTCATATGAAATAGATCCATCACATTTAGACTCTTGTTGTTGTTGCTGTTCCTCTTGATGTGGCTGGTGAATGCTTGTCAGGGACGCAGAACTCCAGGGCCAGGGCAACCTGTAGAAAGGTACAAAGAGAGAGAGAGAGGACACACTATGAGAGAGAGGAGACACAAAGTTAGTAATGTGTAATGGTGGCATATAGAAGCATAGGGAGAGAGAGGGGAGGGGAGAGAAACTCAGAGCATCATGGAGCCCCTCAGCAGCCTAGGCCTATAGCAGCATAACTAAGGGAAGGCTCAGGGTCACCTGATCCAGCCCTAACTATAAGCTTTATCAAAAAGGAAAGTCTTAAGTCTAATATTAAAGGTAGAGAGGGTGTCCGCCTCCTGAACTGAGACTGGGAGTTGGTTCCATAGGAGAGGAGCTTGATAGCTAAAGGCTCTGCCTCCCATTCTGCTTCTGTGGACTCTAGGAACCACAAGTAAACCTGCACTCTGAGAGCGAAGTGCTCTGTTAGGATGATAAGGCTCTACGAGGTCTTTAAGATACGATGGAGCCTTGTCATTAAGGGCTTTGTATGTTAGGAGAAGGATTTTAAATTCTATTCTGAATTTTACAGGGAGTCAGTGGAGAGAAGCTAATATGGGAGAGATATTTGATTTGATTTGATTTATTCTTTCAAACATGCAGGACAAATGACATCAACACACACATAATTACACAAATCCAACCAATGCTAATCCAGAATCAGTTTGCTTATACCTAGTACATGTTTGAATGGAGTAGGAAGAAGTCAGACTTATCCAGTCCTACCCCATAACATCATCTTATACAAAAAATTTCATGCATCATTGGCTGCAAGCAATATTTCTACATAGGTAATTCTCTTATTCACCAGACAAGTAATACACAGAAAATTTTGTGTTTCCTCCAGTTTCTTCTCCCAGGCTACTGCACTCTTGAACAGCTAGTCTATGTTTGCTCTTTTAACTTGTATATATTTTGTATTTATTTTGTTTTTCTGCTGTGCACATTGGAGGCTGTTGGGCTGGAGTCAAATTCATTGTATTTTTGATAATACTTGCCAATAAAGTTTATGCTTATGGTTATCCTTCATTCAGGAGCTGGATAGCTCAGTGGTTAACACTGTGGTATGATAGGTTGGGGTTCAGTTCTCTGTCAAGGCACGATAAACCATTTTGCTAAACTACCTTAACCAATACTAGAAACCAGTACAAGTTCCAAAGTAACTCCTATGCCACAGATGAATGGCTTGGTGGTTATCACCCCTGACTGTGGTATGGTAGTTTGGGGTTCAGTCCTCTATCAATGCATGAGAAGCTGTTTTGCTAAGCTACCTTAAACAACAAAGGGATTGCAGCACCACAGATGAATAGCTTCTTGGTTAACACTACTGACTGTGATTTGACAGGTTGGGGTTCAGTTCTCTGTCAGGGCATGGAAAACCATTTTGCTAAGCTACCTTAACCAATACTAGAAACCAGTACAAGTTCCAAAGGAACTCCTATGCCACAGAAGAATAGCTTGGTGATTAACACCATTGATTGTGGCATGTCAGGTTGGAGTTCAGTTCTCTGTCAGGGTATGATAGGAGGAGGCAGGTAGGAAGTTGGGATATAGCAGTAAGGAGGGCAGATGGGGGAGATAGGAAGAGATAGAAGTAGGGAGGGGTGCAAGAAAGAGGAGATAAGAAGTATTAGGGGAGGTAGGAAGTTAGGATATAGCAATAAGGAGGGGTGCAGGGAGGTAGTGGAGGGGTGCAAGAAGGAGGAGATAAGTGCTGGGGAGGTAGGAAGTTAGGATATAGCAGTAAGCGGGGAGATAAGAAGAGACAGAAGTAGGGAGGGGTGTGGTTAGGAGAGGAAGATAGAAGCAGGTATCTGTATTTTTGGCCTCTATTAGATAAAATCACTGATATGACTCTGCCCTCCACTACCTACTCCTCTCTACCTCCCCCAACCAACTCCTGTCTCCTTTCTACCAACCCCGCTGCTCCTATGTCCTCCCTCCCCTACTCTCACCTCACTCCTGTCTCCACCAACCTGCCCCTCAACTACCAACTCCTTTTGCCTCCTATTTTCTCCCCACCCCCCACCACCTAAACGTCTCATGTTTCCTCATACCTCCGCCAACCGACCTAACCTTAACCTGCCCTGACAGAGAACTGAACCCCAACCTGCCATACCACAGTCAGTGGTGTTAACCACCAAGCTATTCATCTGTAGCATGAGAATCCCTTTGGAACTTGTACTAGTTTTCAGTATTGGTTAAGGTAGTTTAGTAAAATGGTTTATCATGCCCTGACAGAGAACTGAACCCCAAACCTACCATATCACAATCAGTGGTGTAACCACCAAGCTATCCACCAGCTGTGTCAAAGGTGGGGAAGAAAGGGGGAGACATTAGGGAAGAGGAAAGAGAGAAATTCAGAGGATCGCAGGTTCGAATCCAGCGCTGGCAAAAATGAAACTGGGTATCTTTTTTGTAAAGTGCTGTGAAGATATTGTGGAGTATAAAATATACTGCTCAAAAAAATAAAGGGAACACAACATACTGTAGTTGAATGTCTTATTTTTGTGTTCCCTTTATTTTTTTGAGCAGTATAATTCCCTGCCTTGTTTTGAAGATATTTATGAAGGTAAAAACTGATTTTCAAAATCATGGGAGAAGCTTTGAATATTATTTTGCACTATACTGTTACTAGGTTAACATAAAAGACAAGACACCAGTTTACTCAGAATAGATTTATTCAATAATAAAACAATGTCACAGATCTTATTTATATATGATACATTTGTGAAACATATACAACATGTCTAGCATATAATCAGATAAATTATCTGTTTGAGACAACTACTAATAATATTCCTCTTGAGATAGAAACTATTACTGTCCAATGTATTAATTAGTTTATAACATTTAAAAAGAAAAACTATTACCATGGTGCAAAGCAACACAGGTTGCTGAAGGTATGGTATAAAAAAGGAAATGTATAAAAGCAAGTGAAAATGGAACAGTAAGGACCCAGTTATGTGCATAAAGAATACAATGTTTAGAGCAATATTTACAAACATGTCCTAACTCAAAGCAGCAGTGTGAATCAAGATTCATCTCCTTTACAAATGCAGGAACCAGTGTTTAGAAATGTTAGAAATGTGTCACACTGTAAACACAAACTTTATTTGTGGCTTACATAGAGTAAATGCTGTAGCAATAGTAATGTTGGTGATTTTACAGATTAGGTTCATATTTACCATAGTCACTGTCTTTGCAGAACTTGACTTATCTGGTGGATGGACTTGTTGTCCACTGAGACATACCTACAAACAAGTGAAAGGGGTAATAAAGAGAAAAAGAAGAGTTTTGAGTAAAAATGCTAATTTACTTAAAATCTCAAAATATTATCTATTTTTTTATCTCTATCAAAAATGCAGTAGTTTGCAAAGTGAATAACAGCAGTAATGATGTTGGTGCTTGAGCGGTTTCAGTTTACATTTACCATAGACGTGGCTGTCCCAGGACTTGACACACCACTGACAGATGGACCAGCTGTGCCAGCTGATGACTCAGCTGCACAGTGAACCTGTGGACCCGCAAGCTGTACAAAACTCTAGCATTACATTTTTGGCAAGAAATCCACAAATACATTTCAGCAATCTTTTTACTGTCTTGCAAAATCTAAAGCCTAATCATTTCTGAAAAAAGAGATGATGCAACTGAAACTGCTTAGTTCCTACTATTAGTTGACTTATAACATATAAATGATGTGTCGGTGTTTGTCACACTATTTGAGTATTGGTTCTTTTTCTTTCTTTCTTTCTTTTCTATATGTAGCCTGGATTGTCAGAAAATCGACTGGCATGAATTTCAGTGATGATTTCAACCATATTAACGTCAGTATTTAAACGCAAAAGAGTGACAGGAATATATTTCTGAGCATTTAAAAATCAAAGACAGCTGCAGATGCAAGATTTAAATTGCAACCTATTTAAATTAACTATATATAATGTCAGGCTGCCATATGGATTTATAGGAATAACGACAGAGGCAACACACTTGTATTTCTGGTGAAACAATGCTCTTAAAGGCTATTTTTGTTTTTCATCTGAGACAGAATTGTAGCCTATTTACCAATGAGTTTAGGCTTCTCCTGTCTAGAAGAGTCTCAGTCGACTGACCAGTCTCTTGACTAACGACAACTATTTGAGGACAGCCCTAAAGAGACGTCTCTCCTTCCTCCTCCTATGACATATAGTTCACTCATTTTCAGTGATGGTAATGATGCACAATGTTGCTTCCTATTATTTGGGTACAGGAGAGCCCAGTTTTTTCTTACAGCACAAATGCTGCAATTTGACAGTCAAATGTTCAGCAGTGGAAGCGGCCATCAAAGGCTTAATTGTGTTTGGTAACGAGGAAATATGTCACTAAGTGATGCGGTGTGTTTCACTGATGTGTTTTGTTTTTGAACAACAATGGAGGTCTATGGATGAATAAGCCGATCCAGGACTGACAAACATTAAGTGTGAGAAAAGGCAAATCATTGTTGGTTTTAGTCTGTGTGGACTATACTGTCTAAATAGAAAATGACCAGCCTTATCCTCTGACTAGCTCTCCTTCCAGTGAACAGAGATTACAACTACACATTTTATAGGTTGAAGTGTTTGTGGGTTGCACTCTGTTTGCTTCTATTTTCAACTGATGACTATTCATTGAAGAATTATGTATGTTGACATAAGTATTGTTCTGCATGCACAAACATATTATAAAAATGCAAATGTAAAAAAAAATAGTGGTTACATTCTTAATTGCAAAAAAAAATCCCTGACAAGTCAGTTTTTGTATTCTTTATTAAAATACTGCTGTACACACAAATATTGCAAAATTTGAGACGAACACAAGAGGGGCATAAAACATATGAAGATGGTGATTGTAGGTGTGGTGATGTGGGGGAGGAGAAGAATGTTACCACTAATGTTAGCTGGAGTGTGTGTGTGTTAGGATGTGGCAGATAGTGACAGGAGCACGGACATTGTGTAGGCCGAGTTGGGGACGTGTGCATCTGAGGGTATGTGTCTCTGTGTTTTAAGGGTTTTCTAAAGCACCACATTCACCAAATATGTCTTGTCTGTTCATTTCACTAAAACAGAGAAACTAGTACATGATCTAACAAAGCCGGCCTCCTCCAGGTTTGTTGCCCCTAAGAACAGGTCACTGACAACTTTGACTTCTTTTGCGTAAAAACGCTGTGCTTGCCCGGTACAGACTACACGATATAAGTGATTTTAAGATTTAATCATGTTCATTAAATATCACAGTGTTACACATAATGTTGGCACAGTGACTTTCACAGTCAGCCTTGTGAATTAGCTACATTATCAGCACTGGCTAGCTAGTTTTTGGTTTTAATTCCTGTACTTAAAACACTCATTTTTAACTGCTGCTTCAAGTTCTCTGCGAAGGAGAGACAACACAGCGCTCTTCATACAACCCACAGTTGAACACAAGCAGCCTGTATCACACACTCTCCTCCAGGTCCCAGCAAGTGCCGTGAACAACATCAGGCTGTGATCTGTCGGGTACCAGCGTGTAGTCTGTCATATCCATTATCTAAGAATTTATGACTATAATCATGTAATCTGACATAGTGACCATCCTATCAGACAAATATAAATCGTGTAGTCTGACCCAGGCATTACACTGTTCACCTTGATTAATCTCATATCTGACAGTCTATGGTAATGTGACCCTGTCGTTCTTCAGACCACAATCATACACATTCAACCGAAACTACTGAGAACAAGATGAAATCAGCAGAAGCAACAACGGTGGTTTGACAAAATGATTCAAATTCTCAGCACAATACTGAACTGTGCCTAAGGGCAACATGACATCCCTCACAGCATGGTCTCCACAACACCATTAACACTCTAAAATCTCTATCTGAAGCCATCCCACCCACTCCACTGTAGCTCATCTATCTGACTGAACAAGGGGGTGGCCAATGACAGCCAAACACATTCAGTCATTGGGTCCCTCCAGCTGTTCATCATCCTGAGAGAAATCCAAGCCATCCCAATGAGTGCAACAGCTGGCACCGCTGCTTTGGCTCCAGCACATCTGTATTTCATGGTCGAATAAAACAAAAACTGTTGCTGCCCTGTTTCTACTCTCCCCGGCCCACCATCTCTTCCCCTCTCCCCTGCTGGAATTGGTCCACAGAATAATAAAGACTTGAAATGAGGCAAAAAGTAATAGTTCTTTCACTTCCCATCATGCATTCCTGACAGTAGTTCAGCAAAGAGCAAAAACAGCTAGAAAAATCACAAAAAACATCACTTTTTCTCAAATGTGGAGGGGCCAAGGCCCCTGAAGAGAGGCAGAGTCTGAAATAATGGGAAGAAGAGAAGGCTAGAGTAACAGAGAGAAAGAGAAAGGGGACAGTGGTGGCAGGAGGACAAGTTGGGGACAAAATAAGAACATTTTACAAAGAGGCAGCTGTGGCTCCACTTCAACAGAAGCCCCACCCACGGGCTACGGGCAAGTGCTGGAAAGCTGAACTAAAATCAACCATCCTCGAGCAGTTCATGTCACCCCATCTGTTAACCAGAGGTGGTTTCTGCATATGTAACAAACACCTGGTGGAGGAAAAGATACTCCTTATTCAGTGCCAACAGAAACCAAATTTTAACCCCCACATCCCAGTCCACACTAGCCAGCCAACCCACCACACATATGAGCCCAAAGTCCCCCAGTCTCCTGAACTACAGTGTTAAGAAATCCAAATCAAATTTTCCAGTTTTAACCCTTGCCACCCACCCAAGTGGTCTGTCCTTTCTGAGAGGGAATCAACAACCAAGGCAAATGTTGGCAGACCCGTTTCATTAAACAGGTGCTACTCTGCCCCAACGAAACCCTTGGGTGTTGTGTCCCATTTCCTAGTGCGTCAGGATGAGAGGGTGTGATCTCCAGCTGAAAGAGATGCAGTCAACAGTGCTGAATTCCTTTTTTTTATTGTTTTTTCCGAGTCTGCTCTGGTGTTTGTCTCTGTGTGATTTTAGCACTCTCTGTACACCCTGTAGGCCACTCACACATATTCATAAAAATAATTCAAATTAAGAAAAAAATGTTTATCTTAGTGCATCGTCCTCAGAAAAATAAACCCCTGCTGTAGAAATAAACAATAAAAGCCGGAAAAAGGTTAAAAACCTCAAGGTGTTTATCCCATTTTGTTCCCCAAATCTAAAAACAAAAACAAACAACAAAAAAGTCGTCATATACGTCCATATTTGTCTCCCCCCCCCTTTTGTTTTTCGATTTTCAGCTGTGGGATTTAGGAAAACTTAAAAAATGGCAGAAAAAAAAAACTTTAGAAAAAGCCTTCCTGGTGGACAGGGTCAGTGTATGTGACTGAAGTTCACGAAAGCCCTGCCCCAATGTCTTCACCATGCTGATGTCATCTCCATGAGCCTGGTCCTTCGCTGTAGTGCAATAATATTCTCAAGATCCGGGCCCACCCCGAGCCTGAAGAGGGCGCTACAGAGAGCCGGAGGCAGCAGCCTGCAGCTCTTGGAAGGTACTGTCAAAACAGCGCTTCAGGTCCGAGTAGGTCACAACCAGGACACTTTTCTCATCCCGAGACACCAGGCTAATCTTCTCAGGAACGCCTGCGTCCAGCTGAGGAAGATACAGCAAAAAAAAAAAACAAAAAAAAAACAATGATTTGAGAGAGAAAAATATCAAACATTGATAGTTTAAATAAAGTGGATTAACTGCTAACAGAAACTAATTTTTCACCATGTTTAAACCAAATAATCTGCAAATTAATCAGTATTGAAAATACTTTAGTTTCACTCATAATTTTAAGCAAATGGTGTAAAAACTGTGCAGCCAGATGAACTCGTATGTATACATGAGACAAGTATATGTGAGCGTGACCTTATATTAATAAACACTTGTGTCATAAACAAGAAGTACAAGATGTCATATCTTTAATCTAATGTATACTTAAAAAGTGGAACAGCAGACATGAGTTCAAGAAGAATGTGAAATCTACAAGAGAAGTCTAAACACGATCATCTTGGTCAATATTGAAATCACAATTATTTAACATGAATACTTGGGATGCATCATGAATTTATTGATATCAAAAAGTATTTTAACAGTGGGTTAAAACAATTGTTTTATCGTTATTATTTGGTTTTTGTAATCGTTGGAAGCCAAAATCGTAATCGAAAAAGTTTAATCGTCCAGCCCTACATTAAACTGTTCACTATAATGGCCAGCTTGTCAAATTGCTGCATATTCAAATGTAATTCAGCGCAATGAAAGAGAAGAAAAGAAAAATGTTCACCGACTTTGTTGAGGCAGGAGACAATGTGGCTGAGGTCAATCCAAGGTGTCCCAGCTTCTGTTACTTGGTGAAACAGGTGATCTCGAAAAAGCTTCAACAGGTAGCGGTCACCTGTCTCTGACCATGTTGGGTCCTTCTGAAATCTGATGTAGACAACACAATGTCGCTAAGCAGTGACAGAAACACTAATCACGCCTACTCCTGCTGGTGAATATTTACACAAGTTCTACTTACTCTGGCCGCTCGTTGATGGTTCCCAGCTTGGCCAACAGCCTGAACAGACGGCCGTTTTGCACCTCCTGCAAACAAGCAGACACTGGTCTTATTCATCAGTGCCCGGCATTTTAATATTTGAGAAAAACTGTGCCAATTGCATCTTTAGTGTAGTAGTACCTTTTCAAGCATTTGTGCAGGATGTATACTGGTGGAAACAGCAGTGAAGCAGAATTGTAGATTTTTAAGTTGAACAAATATAATTTGAAGTAAACTTTGAAACTGACACCAAGTAAGGAAAATACTCCATGGGAGGCAGTAAAAGTCAATTTGTAAAGAAAAAAAAAAGTGTACCCACATAGCCAAAGAGGTACAGCACATGCCACAAAACTCCAACATCTATGGTCCAATTCAAGCTGAGAACTTTTATTACATGTCATGACCCCCCCACCCCACTGTTTCCATCTTGGCAATTTACTGTCAAAGGCCAAATCCCCCCGAAAATATCTAACTAAAATGACTGCTTCAGTCATATGCCTTCGCCAACCAGTCAAATTCATGAGACAGATGTGAGGTCACTGACCACCAAAATCTAATCAATCCATCCTTGAGTTCAAGTGGACACTAGTGCCAAATTTGAAGAGATTCCCTCAAGGCGTTCCTGACATACCACATTCACAAGAATGAGCCAGACAGACAGGTAACCCAAAAACATAATGCCTCCGGTTATTGCAACGGAGGCATTTAAAAAAAAAACAACAAAAAAAAAAACAACAAAAAAAAAACACACAAACTCATTCACACTTAACACTGCTGATGGGATGTTATGATTTTGATTTTCCACCTCTGTGGTCATACAGCAAGAGCAATGTCATGAGTGGGGCAGGTTGATACTGTACATAAAGTCTGATTAGCTACAAATGAGTGAACATGCAAAACAAGCAAGATAAACTAATGCACAAAGAAAGGAATTACTGAATAAGACAGAACATTCCTCCTTATAAAATCCATCCCTTTAAAATAACAAGACTACTCATCCCTGCAGGGAACAGTCAGATGGAAACATTTCACACTTGACTTTCTAACCATACACAGTACTGGATGCTGTTTTCTAACAGAAGACACTTCCTCTTTACTGAAAGTCAAACGGAAGAAGCTGCACTTTCTTTTCTGTACATTTATTTCTGTATGCAGTCTTGTATAACTATTAATTACTAGAAATTTAGGGGAACAATTGCTGATAAAACTCACAGCCAACTGCAGATTAAATCTAGACAACTAGATCAGCTAATTTAAATCTTTAGTGCACTATTGAACGTGCACTGACACATGACAAAGTCTCGTTTCTGTCTCTACGTTAGATCATTTCATCAACTTGTAGCTTACCTTTTGCCTCTGCAGATATAATTTACTCCTGTCTCTCCTCTCTCTTCCTGTCTCACCCTGTCAAACGTTTTCTGCACTGTTGGACAAAGTGAAAATAATTGAAAACCAAGCAGCCATCATGTTGGCTTCCTCCAGTGTGTATTTACCCTTTAAACTTTCCTGCTACCACTGAATAAGCCTTTACAGAAACCGGTGTAAACTTTAGCTTTGGTCTTATATCTGATATATTGATTATTTTTGATATCAATTATGATAACACTGTTTGTTGTTCTCAGAATGCTGACTGCTGAGATATGGAAACAAACCAAACATCAACTATTGCAGTTTGATGTTTCCGCCCCCCCCCCCCCCAAAGCAAATTAAAATGATCCCCAAGGATAAAAATTAAAAAGATTTTTTGACTACATCATCCAGCAATGAGTAATAAACCTAAAAATTAAAAGCAACACCAACCACACCCAGCAGCTTGACACAACGGTGGTGTTGCATTACACATGAAACACCCAACTGACCTCAGTTAAGATGGGTAAGAAATGAAACATTGTCTTCCTGTATTTCTGAAAATGTGTTTTAAAAAGTTTTAAACTATTAAACTTGTCAACAAAAAGAAACTGGCACTGGTCTCTGTGTGGAGATATGCTACCACATACAGAAATTGTTTGACAAACAGGAAACTCTCCTCACCAACACAGATATCAAAAGATCTCAGGCAAGTCTGACCAGACTACCCAGTTTCTGAAACCTAATTTACTATTTACTGCACTTCCTTGTTGTAACCTTCAGCTGTTCTTTGACCTTCTATTGCTGACATCCACCACCTAAATTCTGCATTTGTACTGTATTGATAAAATTCACTTTAAGACGTGCTGGACATCTGAGAAAGGCAGAAACTGGAATCTTGACTTTCATTTAGAAGTGACAGACTAATTTTGTCAGATGTGTAGAGTCAGGGAGTACAGGGGAAGTTGGTGCATGAACAAGAAAGAAAGATAAAGTGAGGGTTGTTTTTTTTCCCCCACATATTCACACCTTAACATGGGGAAACTGAACAGCAAAACCTCCACATAGCAGAGTACCCTTTGTGTGCACGCAACTTCCCTCTTAGCTAACAAAACCAACGCCTCATTTGTGACCACCACCCAACAGTATCCATTTGAATCATGACACAGCTTAATTATGCATACTCACAAATGCTTTCTGACACAAAATGCATCTTTATGTGTCATGCATTCTTTTTTGTGTGGCACCCTTCTTATACCTTGGCAAGGTCCTCTTCAATGACATCATTCCTCATCTGCGCTGCATCCAGTTGTGTGTAGAACCGGGCTCCAATCATTGGCATTATGTCATTGACACTGCGTAGGCGAGACTGTTCGGTCAGCAGATACCTGCATATATGCAAAAAAAAAAAATTCCTTATACATTCAGCATTTATGTTTTAACCATTATTTCACTGCAGCAAGATTTGAAAATGGAGTCTTTCACTTGGTCTTCTGATGAGGGGTTAAAATAATGCCTAGCACCAAGGGCTCCATGCTACATGTTGCAAGCTAGTAACACCATACTGACACCATGAATTATGCATCACTTCTCAGAAGTTGACACCACCTCAACAAAAATAAACAACAAATAGAACACAAGTGCATTGACTCAGCATCAGCTCAGCATGTCTCCAAAGTGGGTAAAGGCAGTAAAGCACTTATTCTAGTAGTTTTTATAAGTGCAGATTAAATAAAAAATTTTAAAAATCTGCAACTACGCTGCTTGGGAGAAGGATATGTGGACTAACTTAACCTGCTGCCTCTGTAATACAACTCCAAGCAGCCAGAAGAAAATGAACGGATGGATAGACATAGCACATGCCTATACATTTTTGTCCTCCCCACTTCAATCATGAGTGTCAGAATATTAGGAACACCTCTGAATATAATGTAGTCCAGTACAACACCACTTTTAACTATGGCCTCAGTAAAACATATAACTGAATTTATACATTTATGAGAATTTTGCCAAAAACAAACACCCTGAGCATCACAAACACAGATGTTAAAGCAGACATTTTGCACTGAAATGCATACAACTGTACAGGCGTACCTAATAAAGTGGCCAGTGAGCAAATATCAGCAATGAGTCACTGATTGTGTATACTGACATTTCTAGGTTCCTGTAAGTGACCAAATTAAAGACTTTTGCACTGGATGTTGTTACTGCAGTCAATCTAATCTAACAGAGTTTGGATACTGGGCATATGTGAGGAAAAATAATGTTTTTACCTTGTGTTGATTAGTTTGGTTAGGTTCAGTTATGTGAGAGCTGTTTGTTTTTTCCTTTCACCAGTTGCTGTCCCCTTTAAAAATGCTTTATCTTCCAGGTACCCGACAGAAGAGGTGAGGCTGGCCAGCACCCCTGCGAATTCCACCAGTGCTCTGCCAGTTCTTTTACTGGTAGCAGTGTCTAAGTGTTAGTTATAACTGGTTGCACCTAGCTTATAAGAATCAAGCACACTAATCTATCAGTGGGCTTGTACCATGCTGCTGGTATGACTACTGGTTTGGTTTGATTTGTGTTTTATGTTTCTCTCTTTGCTGCATGTGTCCCTTGGTTATAAGATCTGTCCTAAGTTGCTTCAGTCATGGGTTGTGTTTTCTTTTGTTGAAGTAATTTATTCAATAAGTTCTCTAACAACATGGTGTCTCCTTATTTGTCATGGCTCTACGAGCTGGGTTGTGACAAGGTGTACTCAATCAACAGCACAAAGACACGGGAATGTTATCGGAACATTGCTTTGCAATGCAAAATTTGACAGAACCCAAAAGCAGAGACTGATACAGACGACACATGCTGCTCTGTGCTGCCCCCTTCCTTTCTTACAGAATGAGGTTCTTCAGGTCAGAAGAGTAGTTGATAGACACCAGCTCCATGGCCTTCTGAAGGTTTTCTCTTTGAATGCCAGCCATGGAGTTGCACGCCAATGCCAGCACCACCTTTCCCAGCGACACTAGGTCTGCTTGCTACATGACAACACACACACCACAGAAACACACATATCAATGATATCATTTCTCACCTTAACAAGAACTTTAACCGCACATTTCCAAATTGGTTAAGTGAAATATGACTACTCTGTACTGCACTTTCATGTGTAATACAAGCAATCAACATCATAACAAGTACCTGATACTGTGGCATTAGAGCAAGATGATTATTCTGACTGTTGTCAAATGTTAAGACATCAAACACTCCGACACAGTTCAACCGTAACCTGTAGAAATAAGAACATTATCAGCATTGCTTTCTGTGGATGTGTGCACGGTCATGTGGTTATGAAAAAGGGAAGCCTACACCAAAAATGCTCTTCCCCTTTTAATGGATTTACAGTTATATACACCTTCTGAGCAATTCATGTTGTTCTGTACATTTCCATTGATGGTTGCATTGACAGGTTTTCTAATCAGCAACATTTATCTTCATGTGCTGAATGATTGTCTGCTGAGGAAGGTTTTTGCAAGTATACCTGGTCTTTCCAGTAATGAGAATCTTGCTGGGGTCCATAACACGACAGGCCAGGCCGGCAGTGTGAATGGTGCGCAGGGCCGAGCTGAGCTGGACAATATAGGCCCAGATAAGAGACTCAGGAAGCAGACCTGCATGCTGCCGTGGCGGGGGGGGCTCATGTTGTCCTGCACACAGAGACCAAACACAAGGACCAAACCTTAACTAAATCTCAAACTGGCATCGACTTCCTTGGCAATCTTGAAGACTAATCATCTCTCACAGTTGAGACGTCACTGATCAAAATTTCCAGAGCTCAATGTGGCCATTCATTGCTCGTCTCCTACAAACATTCCTCGATATTCCATTTACAATCATAAGAATGAGATCCTCACAAATGAGAAGCTGGACCTTTGAGTTGTTTAGCCTTATTTCTTAATAATTCATTTATTGATTATTAAAATGATTGTTCACTGTCTAGTGTGACTTCAGTAAATGAGGAAATGCAGCTTACTGTTTGCACAATATACTTGCTGTAACACTTAGCACCAACGTTTGGTTGGGTAATGAAAATCAGGCAACACAATTTTAGGGTGTGTACTGCACAACAAAAGCCACAATGTTACACTGAGAAGGCCAGAGCTGGCCAATATAGTTGTTTTCTGAAAAGGTGATTCCAGGCAGAAGTAACACTTTGGCTATATGATCCAGTGCCTCGGGAGAATTTTTAACATGTGCAACTGCATTACAAAAACACTTGTTTCTATACAATTCATGCATCATGTTGCTCTGATATATTAAACACAGAATTCCAAAAATGGAGTGGGCAAAATTGCTGACAACTTTATATTTGGTAGCAGACCCTTTGTACAAAATAACTGAAATCACTTCCTGTAACCATCAGTGAGTTTCTTCCACCTCTCTACTGGAATTTTGGACTACTTCTTTTGCCAACTGCTCCAGGTCTTTCAGATTTGAAGGGTTCCTTCTCCCAGCTGCTGTTTTGAGATCTCTGCACAGGAGCTCTATGGGATTTAGATCTGGACTCATTGCTGGAAACTACAGAACTCTCCGGTTCATTGTCTGAAACCATTTCTAGTGCTTTTTAGAGTCTTCTTTGAGGCATTGTCCTGCTGTTGCACGCTGTGCCTTCAGGTCAGCTTGAATTTGTTTGGAAGCTGATTGAGGTTCTTTATCCACCATTCGTTGCAACCTGTCATCTCTTTTTCTCTTTTGTCCACATTCAGGGAGATTTGCTACAGCGTCATGGCCTGTAAACTTCTTGACAATGTTGTGCACAGTGGTCACAGGAACAGACAGATCTCTGGAGACGGACTTGTAGCCTTGAGATTGTCCAGGATTTTCCACCATTGTGGTTCTCAAATCCTCAGACACTTCTTTGCTCTTCTTTCTTTTCTCCATGCTCAGTGTCGTCCACACGACACAAAGGTTGAGTCAACTTTTCTCCATTTTTACTGGTTGCAAGTGTGATTTCTGTATTGGCGCCACCTGTTGATTGCTACAGGTGAGTTTTATTATAGATTAAAGGAGCATTACATGCTTGAAATACAACTATTTTTGATTATTTTGAAAACGTGTCAATAATTCTGCCCAGTCCATTTATGGAGGTCTGTGTGGAATGAATCAGATTTGGCTTTTTTCTCTGCTTTTTTGTTGCTCAAATGCAAACAAAAGAAATAAACATGAGAATACCAAAGAATTTGTGATTGCAACAATTTTCTGGAAGAAGTGGTGTGTTATCTGATAGAAATGTGGAGGTGCCAGTATTTTTGGCCATGACTGTATGTAGTCACGAGGACACATCTGCTACTCATTGCTCCTTCATGCCGCTGTGGCATTTGTGAGCGTGTCATTACTCTTTAACAATGTGATCTTTGGATAAAAATTTGGCCACAAAATGCAACTGATCATTTGCAGTCTGGAGCCATGATTATGGTTTGTTATCAGTGTTTGCTGCAGACTACCAAAAGCCCAGACCCTGCTTCCTCTGTTTGCATTCCTCTAGGTAGGCCACACAACACCAGCCCTAGGATCAGTTTCAGCCACAGTTTCCTGCAAGTCCTCGTCTCTCTCACACAGACATATACATGCCAACTGTCAAACTAGAATGCTTTACAGACTCCAAACATTTAAAGCTTCAAAACGCTGCAAGAGTAGTTTCACACCTTTAATCGTCTTGGAACACATCTTTATTTTCAGTCAACAAGTTGTTTTATACATTCAACAAAAGACATCAAACATCAGATGTGATCATAACCACACTCACTGAAAATATGAACATGCAGACCAAACCTCATGATTTCATGAGAAAATGAATAAACTCAAAATGTGTGAAGTAGGGGGGGGGGGGGGGGGGTTGTATAAACATCTGAGGTGATGCTGGGTCAATGTCAGTGTAAAGGAGGAACAGACAAAAGACCAACTTACCCCATTTCCTCTTGGTGAAGTACGAGTCTGCTGCGGGGTTATTGAAATGCCTGCGGAACATGGTTTCTGCACCCGCATAGAAGTCATAAGAGAACACCAATGCTAGGGCAAAAAAAAGGACAAGGATTAGATCTTAGAAAATTAAACAATCAGCAACAGTCAAACACCAACAGATACTTTTATTCATCCAATGATATCCACTTTGCTCTACACATTGTACTCTCCAAAATGTTTTTCTTTACCATCATTAAACCAAATGTGAGAATTAAGGACAAAACCATAATTTCTAACAGTAATCTAATTTTCCAAATGTAAAAAAAAACACAATCTGGGTGACAGATATCCATCTTACTGCTGTAACAATTACATCAGTGCACTTTCAATTTAAGAAATTGCTGTACTGTTTATACAAACTGTACTAAAAAGACAAACTGTCCATATACAGAAACATAAGTATCAAATGAAATTCACAAGTCATGTGCACATAAACAGATGGTAAACACTCACAGTGGTCTCCAAAGGCCTTGGTGGTAAAGACCTCCCTCAGTGTTACAGAGTTTGAGTGCTGGATCTTCTTCCACATGTCCACCAACATCATGCACTTTGTGTTAACAAGGCGGAAACCTGGACACATTTTGAAGACAGACAACATGCAAACAGGCAATTAGAAATTAATTCAAAAGAATCAAATTAGAAATTACTAATATATTACACTATCACAACATTCTGTGCCAACTTTAAAGGTGCATTAACTAATAAATAATAAATCTGTGTAAATGGGAGTCGACATGATGACTCTGCATGATGCTACCAGCCCTCCATTACATTCTGTGATGTACAGTGCTTCTGTTGTTATTCCAGCTTTTCTGTGTTTTCAGAGTAAGGTCCGTAAGTTAATCCCCGCCTGCCACTTCGCCAAGGTTATAAGCTGTGTTTAACCACATGTAGTAATTTCAAACAACCAACCAGGAAGGACCGCTCCTCCTTTGAGATTAGGGTTATGATTTTATTTGACATAAATCTAGAGCCCTTTTCAAACACACATTGACCTTTGAAATTCTCCAGACATTACCCAGGGGAGCTATATGCGAGAATGCAAATGTCCAAGTCAGTCGACCCAGATGTTAAGCGGACTTTACCATACCAATTCCCTAGTAAAAAGTACGGGTAAGGTCCAAGTGAGTCGCAGTGAGCCCATGTGAGAATACAGCAGCGTATAGTCCGGAGTATTCACACAGAGCTAGTGGTGATGTTGACGTTCTATTATGTGACCAGCACAAAACCAGAAGAACAGGTGGGTTGCATATGATGTCACGTCACTGTGTTGCTATAGTGCAAATTGCAGATAGAGGGCAAGAAGTGATTTTCTACATAGGCAGTACTATCACAAGCCCTCAAAATGCCTGTAGTTTATCATTTATGGTTCATCAATCACACTGACAAAGCAGACAAAGCTTTTATCAAGTACCATAAGTAGTTGTTCATAAGGTGGGAAATGCAAGAAATTCACTGTAAAATGTTGGTATTGTGTCATTGTGGTATTGTGTTTTCCCCCGCCGAGATGTTTCTCCCCCTGTTAAACACTGTTTCCCTTAGTGCCCCCATCAGTGGTCAGGGCTAGGATAAGGTTAGATTCACATTAAGTTACAGTATTGTTCAAAATAATAGCAGTACACTGTGACTAACCAGAATAATCCAGGTTTTTAGTATATTTTTTATTGCTACATGGCAAACAAGTTACCAGTAGGTGCAGTAGATTCTCAGAAAGCAAACAAGACCCAGCATTCATGATATGCACGCTCTTAAGGCTGTGCAATTGGGCAATTAGTTGAAAGGGGTGTGTTAAAAAAATAGCAGTGTGGCATTCAATCAGTGAGGTCATCAATTTTGTGAAATAACAGGTGTGAATCAGGTGGCCCCTATTTAAGGATGAAGCCAGCACTTGTTGAACATGCATTTGAAAGCCTGAGGAAAATGGGTCGTTCAAGACATTGTTCAGAAGAACAGCGTACTTTGATTAAAAAGTTGATTGGAGAGGGGAAAACCTATAAAGAGGTGCAAAAAATTATAGGCTGTTCAGCTAAAATGATCTCCAATGCCTTAAAATGGAGAGCAAAACCAGAGAGACGTGGAAGAAAACGGAAGACAACCATCAAAATGGATCGAAGAATAACCAGAATGGCAAAGGCCCAGCCAATGATCAGCTCCAGGATGATCAAAGACAGTCTGGAGTTACCTGTAAGTACTGTGACAGTTAGAAGACGTCTGTGTGAAGCTAATCTATTTTCAAGAATCCCCCGCAAAGTCCCTCTGTTAAAAAAAAGGCACGTGCAGAAGAGGTTACAATTTGCCAAAGAACACATCAACTGGCCTAAAGAGAAATGGAGGAACATTTTGTGGACTGATGAGAGTAAAATTGTTCTTTTTGGGTCCAAGGGCCACAGACAGTTTGTGAGATGACCCCCAAACTCTGAATTCAAGCCACAGTACACAGTGAAGACAGTGAAGCATGGTGGTGCAAGCATCATGATATGGGCATGTTTCTCCTACTATGGTGTTGGGCCTATTTATCGCATACCAGGGATCATGGATCAGTTTGCATATGTCAAAATACTTGAAGAGGTCATGTTGCCTTATGCTGAAGAGGACATGCCCTTGAAATGGTTGTTTCAACAAGACAATGACCCCAAACACACTAGTAAACGAGCAAAGTCTTGGTTCCAAACCAACAAAATTAATGTTATGGAGTGGCCAGCCCAATCCCCGGACCTTAATCCAATCGAGAACTTGTGGGGTGATATCAAAAATGCTGTTTCTGAAGCAAAACCAAGAAATGTAAATGAATTGTGGAATGTTGTTAAAGAATCATGGAGTGTAATAACAGCTGAAAGGTGCCACAAGTTGGTTGACTCCATGCCACACAGATGTGAAGCAGTTATAACAAACTGTGGTCATACAACTAAATATTAGTTTAGTGATTCACAGGATTGCTAAATCCTAGAAACAAAAACGTTTGTACAACATAGTTTTGTGTTTGTACAGTCAACGGCAGACACTGCTATTTTTTTGAACACACCCCTTTCAACTAATTGCCCAATTGCACAGCCTTAAGAGCGTGCATATCATGAATGCTGGGTCTTGTTTGCTTTCTGAGAATCTACTGCACCTACTGGTAACTTGTTTGCCATGTAGCAATAAAAAATATACTAAAAACCTGGATTATTCTGGTTAGTCACATTGTACTGCTATTATTTTGAACAATACTGTACTAACAGCTCAACGAAGGAACACACTTCGACACAACACTGACCAAAATAGTTTACGAGCCTTTGTCTGGGTCTGGGAGGAGCGGAGTGGGCGAATGCTCCGCTGTGCAGTGACCACTTATGTAGCTAGCAAATCGCTACCCTGCTGTGCAATTGCACTGAGCTGTAGTGAGTTCTCTGTCCTGTTTTGTGATTATCATCCGACATCTTTAGTGGTCTGTCACTGGACCACTGAGAGTGGTTAACCTACTCTAAGTAGACAACTGTAACGTTAACATCAAGAGGCACCATGCGTTGAATGTTTGTTGCTACGTTAATCCACAGGACCATAGACATACGTTATATTATGTGTATGCACAGGACAGAATTGCTCAATAGCAGGAAAGTATTTCAGTTCTATATATACTCTCCATCTCTTCATTCCATTTTTCGCTTCCTGCCCTCCATCTGAGTTTTGCGCATCATAGTCACGTGTTTGCAAGCCTCCTATGCAAACATCCAAAGGTGAAGAAAAAATTATTTACAATGAAGACATCAGCAAAAATATTCAACTGGAGACAGGGGGTGATTCAGGAACTTCTATTTAAGTGCTGGCGCCAGAATTGTCAGACAAGGCAAGAGACTTGGTTGTTTATGACCAAACTGCAAAACGGCTACATGACCTTGTAGGGCAACTCTCAAAGACCAGGCCTGATTCTGAAGAGGAAGTGTGGAGTTCATGTGTGAAAATGGCTTTGTAATGAATCTGTTTATGTAATCTGATTCCTTTCCATCCTCAGTGCATCCATGTGTAAAACTCAAATTACAAAAGTCACTTTTGAGCGGCAGCCCAGCTGATGTTGACAAGCCAAGACAGACAGTATACATAGTAAAATTAAATACATCGCATAGATAGCAGCACACGAAATGCAGTGGGTACGGAAAGTATTCAGACCCCCTTAAATTTTTCCCACTTTGTTATATTGCAGCCATATGCTAAAATCATTTAAGTTCATTTTTTCCTCATTAATGTACACACAGCACCCCATATTGACAGAAAAACACAGAATTTTTGACATTTTTGCAGATTTATTAAAAAAGAAAAACTGAAATATCACATGGTCATAAGTATTCAGACCCTTTGCTGTGACACTCATATATTTAACTTAGGTGCTGTCCATTTTGTCCGATCATCCCTGAGATGGTTCTACACCTTACCCGTACCCACTGTATGTGTTTGTCAAAGTGGCTATTTTGATTCTGTGGCATCTGTGTTCTGCTTCTCTTAAAAATTTCTTAGAATCATGTTTATTACCATGTATCCTCCTTAGGCAGTAGGGCAGGTCATCCTTGCTGTTGACGGCCTTGTAGCAGGAGGTGATGTAGCTGAAGTTGCTGGTCTTCTGCATGCGGTTTGGTGGGGGAAGAGGCTCAAGGGGGAATAAGCTGTGGTAACTATCCACCTCAGATGGTACATCTGCCACAGAAAGCAGCAGTTTCATGAGAAAAAAAACATGATACACATGCCACTGTGCAAGCACCAGTCAGATAGATTTAGGTCATAGCTCATATCAACAACTATCCGTTTTGACCACCAGTAAATAGCGGCTAAATTAAAATTCCTTTTCACACTTACATCAATAAATCATTCGACTGTTCACAACTTTGTATCTGTTGTTATGCATGCCTGACAACAAGTACATGAGAAAAACAAACAGCTTGAGGGTAACGTGAAACCAGACCCATACAGACCACAAACAACAAACTTCAAGCAATGCTGGTTTATTGACTTGTGAACACCGACAACAGAGCATATAAATAAATGGTCTCTCATTTGATACAAAGCATATTTTTATGGATTGAAAAACTGTACATAATGCAAGCCTGCCTCAATATTGAGTCAATAGAAATCCTTTGTTGTGACAACAGATTAGAGCCTTTACCTGGGTTCTCTGAGTGATCAATCTGGGCCATGGTTATCAAATGTCTGTTTATCAACTCCTGAAAGGGAAACAAAAGGGCATCACATCATACATTAGACCCCCAGAGAAGACGACAAGAGTGGTGTTTAATGACGAAGAGGGAGGGCAAGTGGGTAATACCTGTCGGAGCTCATCAGCCATGAAGAAGGACGGAGCATTAGCTTTTGGTTGCATGTATGCCACATGGGGCGCAATGGGGGGATAGATGTGGTAGGTAGGAAACACCTGCGATGAAAACAGAAAAAAACCAACTTCCTATTTATCGAGAAATGAAAACAGGTGTGATCAAAAATGTATTATTTGTTCAAACTAGAATCTTATGACTAGTCAAATGAATGAGATGGAAATGAAAGAGGATTTGAATGAATTGTTAGGTTGATAATAAAGCCATTAGAAGGCACATTACAAGCCCTAATTGACTATAACGATGTTAGGATTGTAGGATGCCTCATCAAAACAGGGAAGCCCACAAACTGAAGTGTATAGTACAGAAGAACTGCCTCCTGAAGAAGGAAAGGAAAAAAAAAAGGAAAAAAAAAAACACAAAACCTCAGACCAGTTCAAGTCTCTAACACAGACAAATTTAAATGCAGTTTTACTGTTTACAGTTCATTTCTGTCAAGGTTATTGTGCAACTGGGTGGTAGGGCTGGGTGATATGGAGAAAAATATTACCACAGTAATTTTTTTCCATACTAATATACAAGCCACAATATATACAATTCATGCCATTAATAATGGAGACGCATTCAAAACGTTTAAGATGTAAGGTTCTGCTGTGCAGCTACACTACATGTCAGTACTGGTGAAAAAGTAAAGCTGCAGCAGCGCTTTCTTTGGACAATGCTGTCCTGCAACTCTAAACCAGAGTCAGCCACTTTCATTAGCTTTTCAAATGGTTTTTCCACTGCTCTGGCCGCATGTATTTTTCTATGTGTTGCAGTTTGACAAAAGAGTGTCTTTATGCACACTGGAAAATTATCGTTGCCTATTCCTTTTTCAAATGGGAGAAAATGTCTGCAAGTTCATTGTTACCTGACTTCACTGGCACAGGTTGCTGCATACTTTACAGCAGATGTCGCTCTGTTGTTCATCCAGTTTTAAAAATCTGATTGATTTCCAAAATAGCAATGTCTGTGAGCACTCTTATCCACACTTTCATTGTCCCGTGTAGTTGTCCTCTTCACTGTTAATCGTTTTTATGTTTCCAGTTACATGTGTCTTCCTTGTTTTGGCCATACAAGTGTAACTCTATGATATGGTCTAAGATGACGATTGTTCAGCAAGTTACTCAGATGCAAAAGAAACATTTACTGATCGAAAATTATGTATTTGTTTATCATCCTTACTGAGGAGATTTTTATCGTAAAAGTTATCGTCATTGTTTTATCGACCCAGTCCTATTGTATAGTGTTTTATCTTTGTACATTTAGTTAGACTTTTACTCTAGTTTGCAAGAGTTTCTTGACTAAAATATAGAACAGCATGCTGTGAGCAACACATACCATCCCAGCCATGGGTGCTGGGGTGTTGTCTGTGTAGAAGTAGGTGGTCCCTCCTACAGTCTCTTTCTGGATGATGTGTGTGCCCTGGTCAGATGCAGTAGTGGGCACCATGTAGTTAGCAGGGTTTGGGGTGTGACTGCGCCGACGAGGAGCGGGTGAGGTGTGCGGTGTAATTTTTGGGGAGTGAAGAGGAGAAGACCCCGCAGACAAAGACATGCCTAAAATTGAAGAGTAGAGGAAATATTAGTTCAAGAAAAGGTATGCAGCATTCACTGACTGAAACAAGACGTTTGAAAGGAACAATAAAGAGATCGGCTTTTGTTTTAACAATAGCATACATGGTGCAATACATAAAAGGGAATTTCCAATATCACTATACAATATTAGCTAAAAATGGAAAACAAAACTGGGTAATAACTGGAGTAAAGGTGATTTCTCAATTTTAGGTTCTCCAAAAGACCCACCTGGAGCCAGTGCAGCAGCTGTAGAGCTGCTAAGACCAGGATGTGGGAAGAGAGGTGAGGGGAAGGCCTGGACAGTGGACTGAGCCATAGTGGCCATACGTGGAGCTCCTTTAGGGATGAACTCGCTTGCTGCCGGGTTTGGAGTCTGGTGGCACGCAGAAACATGCAAGAAGAATTGCAGTACATCAAGTTTAGAGGCAATATCCCACTTAGGGTTCAATAACCGCAAAGTCATTTATTTCTGCCTCAACAGCAATTAGGTGTACAGAGCAGACAGCACAACATTTGAAAAGTTGCAGGAGGGCACAGAATATCTTTCACAAAGTCAAACATGTTGGATTTGTTTCTGAGTTTTGTTTCTGATTTGTGTCTTCTCTTCCTATCTATAGCTTGTCAAGTGTTGAAACGGATTCCTGCTATTGGTTAACACAGCTCAGCAAGGAAAAGGGAGCACTTGTTTTGTTGCAAGGCATCTCCCTGTTAATGCAAACACAGCATAATCATTGTCACAAGACTGAGATCGAACAGGGATCTAAATTACCCTCACAAAACAAATTCTCATTCAGCCGTATTTTAAACGGGATGCTTGTTTGCTCACCTTTCTCCTTTGGGAAATGCTAAGAGCACCAAAATCACTGAACAGTGAGGATGTTGAGGGGTTCACTGAATCTGTAGAAGACAACAGAGTTTAGGGCATGAGTAGTAGATGAGTACTGACTACAGCTCTACAGAGGAGTCTTACCATGACTGCTGTGGCTGAAGTTCTTGGCACCATCGTTGAGGAGACTGGGAGAGCTGCTGCTGGTAGTCATTCGCTAAAGAGAGCAGCATCAACAACAGATGTTTAAGGGAAAACACTCTTTTTTGTATTTATCAATCATTTATGGCCCAACTTTAGATTATTAAAAAAAAACAAAAACTTTTTTTTTTTAACTAATTACATGCAAAAAATATAGATAATTAATGTAGTGCCTCAGTTTATCTAGGGACTTACAACCATAACGGAAATAGCAAAGGGGTAAATTTAAATCAATTTTCAAAGCAGTCTTTGTCAGACCTCAGTTAAATGAATTGCATATCTGCAACTACCCTCTTGTACCTGCATCATTGAGTATTTAGACTCCGCTGGGCTTCCAAACCCATTGACCCCAATAAAACTGCTGCTGAAGTAAGAGTTGGTAAGATTGGCATCACTCATGGTTGCACTCTCCATTCCTGGGACTGTGAATGACAGAAACCATCATTTAATAACTAAACTGATGTAACAGAAATAAATCTCATATAATGACAGAACAGAATATGTTCATGGTAATGACAGTACTACTGTTTGCTTGGCCAACCAAAGAGCTAATTAGAAAGCATGTAAACACTTCAGTGAGCCACTATTCTTGCTATCTTTTAAAAGATAAACTTTATAGCAGCAAATTCTGGTTTATAGGGCTCCTGGATGAAGTTGATATAGGTAGATTTTAATATGTGGTGTATGTGCACGTTACTTGCAGTTTGTTTACGTTGCGGAAACGCGACAACACAAAGCAAAAACAATGCCCCGTGAACTGCTAGCCAAGTTAGCTAGCTAGCTATGCTAATGGATAATAGTGACCAACAGCAAACTAAACAGTAGCACTACAGCGCACATAAACAAAACAGAGTCAAACTTCTTGCACCGATATTATAACTGATAACGACCTCCCCGAAACCCAAGCCTACTGCAGCTTAGTTAGTTAAAGTCTTCAGTTTAACGTTAGCTTTTAGCAACCGCTAACTGGCTAATAGCTTCACTAACTTAGCTACCGCTGGTGATTTCTGCCCACTCAACAGCTGTCAAACAAAACAAGCACTGAGCAGGCCCTGTTTGAGCTACAACAGTATAGCTAATGTTTTGTCTTATCAAGTACCTTTTAACCCGCTTTTAGACGACACTATCCACAAGACATCTAAAGGAAATAATGCGCCATAGGAACATGCTGAGGCTTCTGGATCACATTTGGTAGACAAGTGTAACCCACGTTGTTTGTGAATAAAGAGGCCTCGGTGAATCCTCGGGCTAAATTTTAACAAATTCCCTCAAAAGGACCAGACGTAAAATGACCCATGTGAGGCCTTGTCTTATTTTAATTGTTACTCACTGGTTAACAGCTGCCCCTCCAAGGACGTGCCTGCAGGGCCCAATGTTTCGCTCTTCTTAGAGGCACCGGTCCCCGCGCCGCCCGGGCAGGCAGCCGCGGAGCCACCGAGGGAATACCCCGCTGGCGTCCCGCCACCCGCGGCCATGGACAACGGGACCGG